GGCATGTTGATCAACCTCTCTGGGCCTCAGCTCCGTCATCAGTGTATAAATCGGGGTTCTCAGCCTGGGGGCTACGGGGCAGGAGTGGCTTTGGGGAGACCCGGGAAGCAGTGGATCGTAGTCCACTCACTGCCTTATGTAACTGTCACCTCAGGGGACAGGGAGGGAGGGGCCGCTGGGTTCTCAAAGGGAGACTCTGAGGAGGTTCGGACCCAGGGCCGGGTCCTCCTGGCCCGCAGGTCAGCCGCTGGCCTGGTGGCCATGGAGTGTGAGCACGGGGCGTTGGCTCAGCAGCCCCCCGAGCCTCTTGCTGCCTGGACGCTCCCAGCTGGACAGTGCTGTCCTGCTGCGCTGACCAACGATGTCAGAGGAGAAGACTGTCCTTCCTGGGCTCAGTGCGGCGCGGTGCTGTAGAAGCTTCCAGAAAGGCCTTAGGCCTCACGGCCCAGCACCCCGCAGCATGTGCCTGCCCAGGACCAGAGGCGCTGGGTGACGCAGGAACGGGTCTTAGTTCCCCTTCACTGTAGTTCCGTCAGCACTGGGCGCCTCGGCCAGCGCCGGCCAGGAACGGCCACCAGGGCCCTTCCTCTGTGGACTGAAAGGAAGCTCGCGGGCGAGGAGCGGGCAGTGGCCTCTGCTGAGCTGGACTCCTGGTTGCCTCCTTGTAAAAAAGCAGAGCTTCCGCGAAGGGCCGTCTCTCCCTCACCCCTGCTGAGGTGGCCCGCGGTGCAGGTGGAGCGCCATCCTGAGTCCACCCAGACCGGGCACGGACCTAGAGGACCCAGACTGTGGCACCTCCTGTGGGCTGAGGGGCAGACTTGGGAAGAGCCCGGGGCATGAGTTGCAGCCCCGGGCAGCAGGCTGGACACTCTAGTGGGGGACAGCCATCTCCCGGGACCAGCACTCCAGGGAGTGTGAGCGGAGACACAGGCAGAGGAGGACAGGAGGAGGACAGCGCCGGGCACGCGGGAGGAGAGCTGGCCCGAAGCGCTGCCGGGGACAGTGCCGGCCATGGGCCCCCTCGTCAGACCAGCCGGGCAGTCGCACGCGCAGACGTGCCAGGGCCGCGTGCGCAAAGGGGACGTGGGTGGTTCGTGTGGTCCGATGACCCGAGCTGAGGGTCCAAGCACCAGGCTGGGCCTGCAGGGCAGCGGCCACGTCACTGCTGTCCCCAGAAGCCACTGCTAAGGAATCTCGTTTCCCAGTGCAGCAGGGACGGGCCACCGGGGGGGCGCGAATAGCACTGAAGAGGTCACAGAGCCCTGGCCAGAGAGGCACGGCCGTGCAGGGCCTTCCAGTGTCACCTCTGTCCCCGTGCCGTCACCCCGTGTTTATTGAGCACCTGCTGTGTGCCCGGGAGACTGCACTGAGGTGATACCGAGGCCGGAGTGGGACGGCCCGGCCTCGGGGAGCTCAGGAGGGACGCTGGACGTGGGTCCCCCGAGGAGGAGGGGGAAGCTCTCCACAGCTGTCCCCAGCTGCCCGGCCCTGACATTTGTGGAGGAGCTGACATTTAGCTGGGGCCTGAGGAAGAGGAACCAGCCACGGGAGAACGGCAGGGTCAACAGGCGGGCCGTCCAGAGGGCTCTTGTCTACGTGGAACAGGAGACTCATTCGTTCAGACCACAAGGAAACTGAATCGTCTCCTAGCAAGGGATCTAAGGCCGGGACAGTGCAGTGAGTTAGTTCATCTGGCACCAAGGGCCTGGTCTCTTCACCCCTTTGCTCTGCCATCTTTAGCTCATTAGCTTTGTTCTCTGCAGGGCCCCCTCATGGTTCCAACAAGGCTGCCACAGCTCCAGGCTTCATAGCCAAACATGCCAAGGTCCCACAGGAGAGGCTGTGTGTGTGTGTGTGTGTGTGTGTGTGTGTGTGTGTGTACACAGAGTGAGGAAAGCCTTGTCATCAGCCCCAGGGGCCAGGGTTACATAAGTGTCCATGTCTTACCCTGTTCCAGGCGGGAGATGGGCCACCTGCTGATCTCAGCCAGGGAGGACCTGCTCCTAATGGCTGTGGGAGAAGGGTGGACCCTGAATAAGGTCCAATTCCGTACACAAGGAGGAACGTCCACCCTTCATTCAAAGCCTGCCAAGCCCTTGAGACTAGAAGGTGCTGGGTGTGTCAGGATGGGATGGGACCAGGAGCAGGAGGGGCAGGTGGTGGCCGGCGGAGGAACTCGGCAGGACTTGGGGTCTGATTCCCAGGTCCTGGGAGAGGCTTGGAGTTTGGAGCGGGAGGGAGCAGCGGCAGGCCTCCTGCCTGGCTGCCAGGTGTCGGGGGACCCCAGGGGGGCAGAGGGAGGCAGGAGGCCAGGGCATTGCTGGGCCGAGTGGGTGGGACTCCAGGGGAGCCCGCAGTGCACAGCCGACCGCGACCCAGGGCAGGTGACTGCGACCCAGGGCAGGTGGCCGTGACCCAGGGCAGGTGACCACAACCCAGGGCAGGTGACCATGACCCAGGGCAGGTGGCCGTGACCCAGGGCAGGTGGCTGTGACCCAGGGCAGGTG